GCGTCTGCGCCGTTCATTCCGTCACATTCCGCGTTACACAGTAAATTCCGTTTTTATGAATAGATTCCGGGATTCTGTCCCCATTTTCTACATCGCCCTACTTTTGCTAAGAAACACGTTCAACGCGGACGCACAGACGGTTGTCGTGGTAATGAACACCAGAGCAACCACTTGCGCGTCCGCACTGAACGCGCATCTCGCATATAAAAAGCATTTTAGGGGGCCCTTTGCTTTTGGGGGCCCAAGGCGGTCGCCTACCTTTGCCTAATGGTTAAGTCCGCCTCTGATTCCATGCGCGTAAAATTAAAGAAAAACTGACGTTTAGTAAAACGAAGATCGTTCACTATTACCGGTCAATGTCTCAACCCACGCGCTATTCGCGAGCAACAGAGCCACGAGCTCGAGAACGAATAGATTGCGCGCGTACTAACTTACAGCGAGAAAGAGAGAGAGCGGCTTCGAATATTTGATTTCATAGTTAGATAAGTTATAGATATCACCCGATGTAAAGAAAATCTACGAAGAGCTGCATCTGACAGCTACAACGTAGCTGGATGACTGTGTCCTTTACATGCAATGGCTGCGGAGAACACCGCGATGCCTGAAGGAAATGACATACTGATGTAAAAGGGTGACAGTTTCGTCACGACAGAGCAAAACGTGCGCTACCCACCAGAACATACGCTTGTAAGTGTACGCTGCGACGCAAATAAATAGAACGCTCCCATTGTAATCAACGAAGATGTCTAGGCTGCCGCGCGCGATGTGCTCTGGCTGTTTAGGCAGTGCCTTTTAGCGACCTTATCATTCGTTCTGCTCAGCCATCATGTATTATCTTACCTTGGTCAGAGTTCATTCGATGAATAATGAGTGATGAATGGAGAAAGGCTTAAAGCAGTCTCGGTTCAGACCACCCCTACTCCTACTCTCCTTGACATCACAGTAAAGGTTGCTGCTCCATAGTTGATACACATGTGCTTCCGACGTCACGCTGAAACGTCACCATGCCGCTACCTCACTCGCGGATCTCATAAAGTGATCATCCGTACTTCCCGAGGGGGGGAAAACTCTCAGAATGTGATATACATGTTGAAAAGCAATATGTTATTGTTAAAATTAATAATTCATTCATTCATTCATGTAAAATAAAATAAAAACTCACGACGTATTTTAATGAGAAACTTTCACATTCACAAAATGAAATGGTCTGACTCAGAACCATTTTTTTTCTCACTTTAAATATGATTTCTAGTTTTATTGAGTGTAAAGGTAAAAAACATATTAGAGCCTACAACATTATATATATATATATATATATATATGTGTGTGTGTGTGTGTGTGTGTGTGTGTGTGTTTGTAATGTACAGAATACAATAGGCACTTTTATATATTTATATATAAAACTATTTTCCTTTATTACATATATGTGATGTAATAAAGGAATCACAATATATATAAAACTATTTTCTCTTTAAATATTATTACTATGTGATTTTATGTAAAACATTACTAATTATTATTATTATTATTGTATTGTACTCTGGCACTGGTTTATTAATGGTTTATTGTTATAGGTTTTTTTTTTTTTTACTTTTGAATGAATATTTCTCATTTTATTGTTCTTGCATAAGGCATTATTAAAAAAACTAACTCATGACTCAAAAGTCAAATTAGTATCATTATATATATATATATATATATATATATATAGTAACGGTTTGTAATTATTTTATTTTAGACGTTTGTAATTTTCAGAATACAATAGGCACTTTGAAAACCAAATAGCTCATCCTTTATAAATAATGGGCTAATGTGATAATGTGATGTAATAAAGGAATCACAATATATATAAAACTATTTTCTCTTTAAATATTATTACTATGTGATTTTATGTAAAACATTACTAATTATTATTATTATTATTGTATTGTACTCTGGCACTGGTTTATTAATGGTTTATTGTTATAGGTTTTTTTTTTTTTTACTTTTGAATGAATATTTCTCATTTTATTGTTCTTGAATAGAATTTATTTAATACTTCGTACAAAAGCCTTTGTAGGTAATGAGAAAAGAGTTATTTTTTTATATTTATATTAGTTATTTTTGAGCGCTTCACCCTTTGACCCTCAAAAGCTTTCAGTATGAATATGAAGCTAAGCCCCGGTCACATTAAACTTTGAGCACACAAAATTTCTTCAGACATTGCAACTGTCATGATATGCTGTCAGGCTCTGCAGCGTCTTTTAAAAACTTAAATTCAACACATAACAATAAATCCAAAAAGTAAAAACATACAATCTTCTCCACTTTTATGTAGTTTTACATTTATGCTTTCACCGTCATGCCGTGACGTATCAATATTCTGTTGGTCACACGTTTTCATGCGATACAAATTCGCAGGTCAGAATTAGCCAAACTTAAACTTTGGAACACAAAGAAATGCGAAACTTCTTCATATGAGCTTGCGTTTCTGCTCTTCCACATTCACATATGTACAAATGGAAGTCAGTAGAACGAAAAGTTTAGTGTGACCGCTAAAAGGGAATGGAGCATAGGTACATAATTACTTCTGAAAACAACCTATTTTCAAAAAAGCTTATGAAAAAAAAGTGTGAAATTTTCCATTGTTTAATAAAAATGATAAACAAACTTTACAGTCAAGGAAATATGGTGGCAAAACAGCAGTCCATGAAAGTCTGTTAGCTCAGTTGAGTTTCCTGATGATTGTGTTTATTTTTTTTTTTTCTTTTGAATGAATATTTCTCATTTTATTGTTCTTGAATAGAAAAACTATTCAAGAAAAAAACAAAATTTTTTTTTTTTTTAAAAACTAACTCATTACTCAAAAGTCAAATTACTATCATTATATACAACGGATAAAATAGGTATTGAACACATCACCATTTTTCTCATTAAATATATTTCTAAAGGTGCTTGACATGAAATTTTCACCAGATGTCGGTAACAATCCAAGTAATCCAAAGTCTGTTAGCTCAGTTGAGTTTCCTGATGATTGTGTTTATGTCTTCGGCTCTGGGTCCAGGATCACCAACATCTTTCAGCAGTCCAACTTTGTCTTTAGCAGCATGTCTTGGTACTGACAAACGGAACGGACACAGAAAGTTGTTTACCACCTTGAAGTTCTTTCCAGCAGAATAGATCTCGTGAATAAGGTCCTCCAAACAGATGATCCCATATTGTCCTTGAGACACAAACAAAAGAAACCCATTCAGAATATACATTTCATTAAAAATTTTAATCGTCAGTATGAATATGAAAGACTGTTAGACACTTATACCATCACAGAATATCAAATAATTTTTTACTTCTGTGCATTTCAAATATTTACACAAATTCCCATTTTCCACAAAGGATTGCTACCAGGTTCACTGCCTCGTTTCAAAAAAAAAAAAAAAAAAAAAGCTCCATGCAAAAGTTTATTACATGAATCCTTTTGCTTGTTAAAGTTCATTCTTAACGTTTTGTTAGGTACCTCAAAATGCCCAATCTCCCACTGAATGAAATGCATCTACCATGTCAATGACTTACCGAGATGCTGCTCTATGAGTGTATTGTCGGTCAGAGGAATCCTTTTCTTGTTAATCCTCACCAGACCTCTTTTCAATATGAGCTCACGGACTGATTTCAAGTTAGGATATCTATTAAGAGATCACAACAATAAATCAAACAAGTGAAAGTCAATAAAAGACAGAACACTGCCAGCTATTAAAAATAAAAAAATAAATAAAATACATCTAAAAACACGACTCCACACGACTTTTGCTCAGTTTTTGTCCTGATTTACAGTGTGGACGAGTTAACAATAGTTGCTGAAAGTCAAAGCCAATCTGCAGATCTGGTGTTTTTAAAACCCATTGAGATATTTTTCATGTAAAATGACCATTAGATGATTACTCACCCCCACGCAACATAAGGTTCCACTGTCTTAAGCATTTTTATAGAAGCCTTGCTGACTTTCACAAAGGTGCCACTAAAGATCTTCCTCAGCCTCAGCATCTGAATGGCCTTCATCACTTTGGGGCTCACGCCTTTGATCCTAACAAGCAATCATGCGAGAAAATTAAAAACATATTCAAGCAGATGTGGAAAGGTACAATTCACTCAAAAATTTAAATCATTTCACTCAATTATCTCACTTTCAATCATTTCTCATAAGTAGATATTTTGACCAATTGTTTACTGGTTTTGTCCACAGAATGAAAGTTGGTTGAGTCTAATGCACTTTATGTTCCATCAGGTGTAGAATAACATGAAGGGGAGTAAATGACGACAGAATTGTCATTTTTGGCAGAACTACCACTTTAACCTCATTATGAATGATGAATAAGTTGACCATACTCTCTGATGCGGACAGCAAACACCAGGCTGTTCTTTGCTGGGGGCATGGGCGGCAGAGGTCTCTGTTTGAGTCTGGCGAGTCGTGTCTCATCTCGATTCCTCCTCTTGCTGTTTTTCAAAAACTCCTCCAAGCGCTTAAACTTCAAGGGAATTCCTTTTTGGACCTGGTGAAGTTTTGACAATTTCAATTTTGTTCTGAAGCAATTACTGGACTATTTATAAAAGCAGGTTACAAAGGAGGAATTCTCACTTTTCTCTTCTGCTGTAACGCAAGTTTGGCTTGAGTAGCTTTGATAGCCTGGTACGCCTTGCGTTTCTTGAGAAGATTCTCAGGAACAAGCTTGATTACTTTCTCGGTTCTGAACAAAAGACATTAAATATGCACAATTTTTTATTAAGAATTCATTCTAAATGTACAAAATAAAAAAGGACAGACATGCTTAAAACTGGGCACTTTCTGTTTCGATATAACCCCAAGTACATAGTACACCTGCTTTATGATATCATGAATTTTTATTGTTTTTAAACTTTGCCACAAACCCCCTTAAGGAATTCAGCAAAGCAACTAAATGTCATGTCATACATAAGCAAATAGCACTCACTTTGTTTGTTGTCTTTATTTATATTAAATACATATTGCTGTTGATAATTCAACAAACTTCCGTATTCTACAAAACTGTTTTTGTCACTTGAAATATTTCCAAATCTCCACCCTAACTTTTCTACTAAGACTCCTCTGATGTTGTGCTTTGCAGTTCTGCAGGAATGAATGACATCAAAACCTAGAAGACTAATTCACCCTGGATTCCCTCAAGATTTTCCTATGGGGTTTTATAACAGGGTTTTTCAATTTATGAGTAAAATAAGCTCTGTGGTTACCAAAATTTGACCATCGATTCCTAATCCTGGTCCTGGAGAACCCCCAAAGCTGCACATTCTCCTTAATCACCTGACTCAACTCATCAGCTCATTAATGAAAAAAAAAACGTACAGTGTTGAGGGTTCTCCAGAACCACAATTGGGAACCACTGATGTAAACGAAACGTTGCTAGTTACTTATTAAAAACATACAAATGTACCTAAGCTACATATATTATTGTCCGGCTCTGATCTTTTGTACATTAAATATGGAGCTGTTTAACCCCTTCAAAGGAGGTACCAAAGCGGAGCATAACCGATGTCACTATGAAATTAATATTACAATTAAATAAAAACGCCAACAGTCAAAATGCACAGGTTAGCTGATAACCTTAAAAGCCCATAGCTATTATGTGACGTCCAGCATAAACCCTATAAAGTCAGATTTAAGCGCTTCATCGGCTGCGTTTACACTTGGCATTAACATGCGATCACCGTGATCTGATCAAGCAGATCGGATCATCAGTCAATCAGGACA